GCTGTCCTGGCAAAATTTCCCTCATTGCACCCTACATGGCGTTGCCCGTCTTCATTAGCCCACATGGTGCAGAAAAGTAGGACGTAAAACTCCATTCATTTTATTTCATTTCCTACACCCTAACCCCAAATCTTTTCCCCAGTCGCTCAACTTCCACAGGGACTGGTTGAACCAAGGGGTCCCACAACCCCAGAAAAAATGCGGAAGAGCATATGTTAAATTTTTTTTTTTAAACTTACCAACCCACTTAAGTCCACGGGCCCCCATCTAGTTGAGCCACTGTTTCCCCATTAATTCTCCACGTACCCTACCCTGGTAACTCGATAACCTGCGCGCATAACTACACAATGATTAAACTGGAGCGGCAGGTTGTATAAATGTATAGGTTATCTGTTATCATTTAAATTCTGAAATAGTTCAAATAGTTTTGGCATGATACACCATAGGTGAGCGAATTTAATACACAACCAATCACGCCTAAATTAACATTCCTAGTGTGAGGTATATATTGTACAGATTAGTATTTTGGCTGGTAACATTGACTATTAAATGTTTTGTATACGTAATTGTAGGTCTTTATTATGAAAGGTAACTCCCCTATTTTGGTATTTTGTAAAGCGATACAATATTTAACCGAGTTTTCAATAGAAAGGGATGATAGACCACATAATGGGAAGATAGGGTCAGTCTAAATTTCGAAATGCAGCGGAAAGGACAACAATTTTAAATAAACAAAAATGAAAATTTTACGATGTATTTGTGCATCTCTTCAAACATTTTAAGAAGATTTTTTTACTCCCCTTTTCCGTTCCAAAATTGGATTATGGTGATAATGTCATACAGTGAGCAGTGAGGAAAATTATAATTCCCTTCAATATCAATGTAGGACAAATCTACAATTTTCTTAATTTTGTTCGTGTATCGGGGATACTGATAGCATCAATTTATACCATTTTCAATCCACACCTCTGTGGTTGCTGCAATTTGACTAAAACCTGGTGTTTGATGACGTCACTAATCTGGAGCGGCCTCCTAAGATAAGGAATATTTCGTGATTGTGACAAAATAATAAGGATTTTATGACGTCACTAATCGCGAAATATTCGTTATCACATAAGGCCGTTCGAGATTAGTGACGTCATCAAACACTTAGTTTTAGTTAAATTGCAGCAACCACAGAGGTCTGATTGAAAATGAGAAAGGTGCAAATTGGTGCTATCAGTTTCCTCGATACACATAACAAATTTAGGAGACCTCTTAACAATCCCATAACGAGAATACGGTGAATAAATGAGTTATTACATGCATCATAATACAAGCATTTCTCATTTCAACATCTACTATGATAAGACAAGGTGCAGTACTTAATGGGGATATTTTATATCTTTTCATAACCTACACTAATAGCATATTATTAAAGGTGCAATCCCTCTGACATTAGGCAATTCTTGGTGGCTTACGAAAAGCTGGATATTGCAATACGTTAGTTAGTTAAACCTTCGCTTGGAATCGTCCCACGTACATATTTGAAATTTGCTGTATAGGGTTTAACACGATTTTTATGAGGGATGGGGAGTGCATTTAAAACAAGCTCTCGAAAGCGCTGACAATGGCTTCACAAATGTGCCTTACCTTGAACTAACCTAATTACCCAACTTTCTAGCGATTGAGCAATATGGAAAAACACACAGTAGCATTGAGTCGACATTGAATTTGCTTAACGTTATCCGACGAAACAGTAATAATGTGCGTTGTCATCTATAACAACATCTCTAACAGGCCTATCTATATATATTTATATTACGCGGGTGTAGGTCTAACTATATATTTGTATAACTCGGGTGTACTCCTGTAATATATAACAGGCCAATCTATATACTACTTTGCGGGAACACAACTTTAATGTAAAACAGGCCTATCTATATATTTGTATTACGCGGATGTACACCTTTGATTTATAACGTATTGGCCTACCAATACTTATATTATGCGGGAGTACAACTTAACAAGTCTATCAGTATATATATATATATAACGCGGGTGTATAACTTTAATAAAGCGATTAACACCTACTCACGAAGACGGAGTGTAAAGGTGCCCCTTTTTATATCAGGTTAACACATTCTATTCTAACTTCATACAAGTGGTTAGTGTATTACAAAATTTGGCTTATTTTAGTGAATTTTGGTATGTGTGAAAACTGCCGCTGAGGCATATTCCATTTTTTTCATTTTCTTGTAGTTTAGATTTAACACAGTATTCTTTAGGGTAGTCGCTTTTTATTCAAATACTGTATTATTTGGACTTTTTGTTAGATTTATGGACTTGACAAAGGAGACTATGTCAGTGTGGCTCAATAATCAAGGCTAGTTTACCTTTTGACAAAAGGTGACAAATACAGGTGAAAGTTTGTTAAATGTTTTTTAGGATAATGTGGAGAATATTTTGAATGGAATTTGCATGTGAGGCCTTACAGTACATGAATTGTGTCGAATTTGTATGGATTTTAAGATTTTTGAACGTTAAAAGTACTTAATGAGGAAAATATAAAAAGTTTAAATATTTATGGAAGGGAAATAACTCGTTCAAACGACTGTAAAATTTCAGACAACAATTAATTTCTTTAAAGGGATTGTGGAGACTTTTCTTGGACATTGATAGCACCAATTTGCTCCATTCCAGTTTTCGATCAGATGTCTGTGGTTCCCGCAATTTTACTGAAAATAGATGTTTGATGATGTTACTTATCGCGAAGGGCCTTATGTGATAAAGCTTATTTTGGTATTAGTGATGTCATCAAACACTTATTTATTTATCACCAATTTTCACTAGTCCTACAAAATGATTTATTGTAAACATAACTGTTATCATAGACAAAGGTGGATTATCTTTTCGGGCAGCGATCAACAAAAATGCAGGCAACAACCCGAAAACAAAGAAAAATAGGCAAATTTCAGCAATCTAATCTGTCCCCTAACAGGCCTTTGGCTGGTTCACTTATGACTGTTGTTTTTTGTTTCTTTTCAGTTAAAAGGTAAAATGACTTGAAAGAAAGAGTGTACGATAACTTTCAGGATCCGAATCTCTACTTAAAGTCATTCTCCACAGAACTCAATTTGAAAATGGGTCGTAAACAGAACGTTAACAATAATAACAATAACAATGTAGTCAAACATTCAAATGTCAGATTTAGTTCGTTAGAGTTGGAAGAGCAGGTGTATACAAAGGCAATATGTACTCACCAGAAACTACTAAAGTTAGGTCTAGTTTTAATTATTGGTGGATTAGTTGTTGGTGGAACTTCTCTGGGAATTGGTCTTTATTTATTAGGTTAGTATTGACCAATTCTTTTTTATATATATATGTTGATACATGTATAAGAATCCAGTTTAGAATTGAATTTTAAAGGCACACGTTCTCCATCCGTATAACCAATCATAGGTCTACCTTAGTCTCAGAAATGGGAATTTTTTTAGCAATGATTCTCAGTAAGTGTTCACAGCTCACCGTCAAAATTTGAGTCTTCCAATCCATGTGTGTCCAGAATTATCTGTGTTTAAAACTTTAAATGATGACTTGTCTTTTTTGAGACTCTGCCATATATAGAAAAGACATATATAGAAATAGAAAGTGAACTTCCTAGTTTGAGGTATATTTGTACGATTTTTGTACATTTCTAAAGACTATTTACAAATATTCAAGACTCAAATCAATCCCAGAAAATGGCGAACTTGTCCCTTTAAGAGTATGCAGAAGTGCTGTGGATAATGTTGCTAGTGAGTTGAGTTTGTGATCACTCTTCCAGAATTATTGATGGTGCTCTATCAATTTGGTATCCTGGTATAATAATATATATTTAGTACTCAATGAGGTTCCAGAGAGTCCACATGGCTTCAGTTTTGAGAATAAGGTTTTTGAAGGTTATATAAACTTGCAATGTCTATTAGGGACACTGGATAGCTAGTATTTGGCACTATTTCAATTTTCAATCAGACGTCAGTGGAATGATGCAAATTAATTCTATCCAGTGTCCTTGAAGATATATTCTTGTTTATTCCATTGCTTGATATCTTTGGCTATTATTTCAGGTAAAACTGCACCAATGAAATTAAACCAGACGACATCCACAACAGAATCTCCACTTAGTACAACAGAGTTACCTCCCTCTTCTTCCCCAGTGGGGTCAACGGACACGACTACTCTGAGCTCATCCACTACTGAAAATTTAACAACATCATCAACAACACAGAATGTGTCTAGCTCTCAACCGACAACACTGCCGTCCACAACCTGGTCCACAACTCCTGCTAGATCTACCTCAACTACTTCATCAGAGTTATCTACCCCTAACACAACAGACGTCAATACAACAGATGTAACAACAACAACAGTCATGGCAACATCAGCCCCTACACCAGAACCATTAGAGACGACTAAAACTCATGGCTACACACCACCAGGTACTTCATCTTTCAGTTTCTGAGTCTAGTGCCAAAGAATGTGCTTATTGAATCCCCTTTGAGTGAAGCAAGCTAAGGCTTCTCTCCTAGCAAAATCTCCCTGATTGCACATTGCATGGTGCTGCTAGGAACAAAAAAGTAGGAAACTCCATTATCTAGACTTTATCTTTAACCAACATTATATCATATTTCTACCAGCCCCAAAAACCAATTTTTAATGTATACCACCTCTAAGGATGACAAAATTTTTTAAAACTTGGTTAAAATGAGTCTTTGTTCATTAGTGGACTCACTTGGTGTCACAACAGAATCTCTCTATTATCCAATAAATCCATAAAACTAAGTAATAATTCATTAAACTAAGTAATTATTGAAACAAGCTTAGAAGAGTTTTTCAATTTTTTTTTAGTTTTGTGGATATATTGTCTTATTTTAAATGTTATGCCCATTCTAAAAGGTAGTATAACTTTAACAGTCTCCAGTCTTTCATTTTTTTGACTCAATGATTTACTACCAACATAACTATTACGTATTGTAGACTGCCTGGAGAAAGAATTTCAATGTAAAAGTGGTGAGTGTGTCAGTCAGTCATTGGTGTGTAATGGTAAACAGGATTGTCACGATTCTACTGATGAACATAACTGTACAGGTAAAGAGTTTCTACAAACATCATCTCAGTGGGCTTTACGATAAACATCATCTAAATAGGCTTTACTACAAACATTGTTTCCAAAGACTTTACTACAAACATTGTTTCAAAAGGCAACAAACATCATCTCACGATTCTACTTCAAACATCACCTCACTGGGCTTTACTACTAACATTGTTTCAAAAGGCTTTCCTACTACCATCATCTCATGATTCTACTAATGAACATAAGTGTACAGTAAAGACTTTACTATAAACATCATCATAGTGGCCTTTACCGCAAACATTGTTTCAAAAGGCTGATCTACAAGCATCATCTCATTATTCTACTGAACATAACTGTACAGTAAAGGCTTTACTCCAAACATCATCTCAATAGGTTTGCCTACAAACATAACCTCAATTAGCTTTGCTACAAACATCATCTCAATAGGTTTGCCTACAAACATCATCTCAACTGGCTTTACTACAAACATTGTTTCAAAAAACTTTACTCATTTCTATGGACTTTACCAAAATTTTCATATCAATAAACTTTTCTTCAAACATCATGTCAATAACATTTACTGCAGACATCATCCCAATACGCTTTACCACAAACACCACCTTAATAAACTTTTAACATCTCAATAGGCTTTACTACAAACACTGTTACAACAGGCTTTATTACAAACATTATTTCAAAAGGCTTTACCACAACAAACATTTCTAAATAGGTAAACAACAAACATCTTCTCAATAGGATACCCAACAAACATGGTCTCAATAGGATACACAACAAACATGGTCTCAATAGGATACACAACAAACATGGTCTCAATAGTATGTACAACAAACATGATCTCAATAGGATAAACAACAAACATGATCTCAATAGGATAAACAACAAACATGATCTCAATAGGATAAACAACGAACACCTTCTCAATAGGATAAACAACAAACATCTTCTCAACAGGATAAACAACAAACATGATCTTAATAGGATAAACAACAAACATTTATCAATAGGATAAACAACAAACATGATCTCAATAGGTTAAACAACAAACATGTTCTCAATAGGATAAACAACAAACATGATCTCAATAGAATAAACAACAAACATCTTCTCAACAGTGCCCCTAAAACTATGGGGCTGTGGTACAGTATGTTTATAAAAGATTCGCTATCATGTATTACAGTCTGTCGAGGGTTTGTGTGTACCAGTGGTCTATGTCTACCAAGTCCTTTTTCTAAATGTGATGGAAAATTTGACTGTTCAGATTTCTCTGATGAAATGAATTGTGGTATGTTTTTAATTATGTTTTAAATTATGTTTTGAAATGGTCATAAAAGAATGAATGAACTGACATTGATATACATTCTGTTATGAACTGTGTGTGCTGTTATGAACTGCCATTGATATGCCTGCTGTTATGAACTGTCATTGATATATATGCTGTAATGAACTGTCATTGATATGTATGCTGTAATGAACTGTCGTTGTTATACATTCTGTTATGAACTGTGTGTGCTGTTATAAACTGCAATTGATGTGTATGCTGTTATGAACTGCCATTGATATATATGCTGTAATGAACTGTCATTGATACGTATGCTGTAATGAACTGTCGTTGATATACATTCTGTTATGAACTGTGTGTGCTGTTATGAACTGCAATTGATGTGTATGCTGTTATGAACTGCCATTGATATATATGCTCTTATGAACTGTTATTGATATGTATGCTGTAATGAACTGTCGTTCATATACATTCTGTTATGAACTGTGTATGCAGTTATGAACTGCAATTGATGTGTATGCTGTTATGAACTGTCATTGATATTATGCTGTTATGCACGGTCATTAATATGCATGCTGTTATAAACTGCCATTGATATTTTGCTGTTATGAACTGCAATTTACAGAGAAACTCCATTTAGTCCAATAAGGTACAGAACGGTAGGATATAAACTCAATTTCATTGCATTGGTCTAATAAGGTACAGAACAGTAGAATGTACAACTCTTCATTGTAGGATCTCGTCCAGGGTATAAACTATGTACCAATGGTGTACAGATACAGAGTAATAAATTCTGTGATAAGGTAGATGATTGCGGTGATAACAGTGATGAGATCAACTGTAGTAAGTCATCATTTTCAATCATTTCCTTAAAATCCCAAAGGAAAAAGTCACAAGATCTTTTGGACCTAGTCTGAACGATTGAGGTCTTCAGGGATCCTATGTTCTTGATCAAACCTCTAAGCAATGATTTCAAACAGACTATAACTCAAGTAACCTGGATTAAGGGTTCTTAAGGGTCCTGCTACCAGCTGGTTCGTGGTAAGCCAAACCTCTTGTCAATGATTTTACAAAATAACAACTAAGGTTCTCAAGGATTCTGTGTACCAGCTGATTTTTGGCAAAACTTTGTGGTAATGATTTTTCAAGAATAACAACTTCATTCTTATGGATTCTGTCTACCAACTGATCTTTTATCAAATCTCATGACTCTGTTTGAGAGTACATAATCAATCTTTAGATATATCTTATTCATCTTGCAGAGTGTTCAGGAAATAGGTATACTTGTCCAGACGGTCAATGTATAATGAGAAGTTGGATGTGTGATGGTCATCCAGACTGTTCTGATGGTTCTGATGAAGACAATTGCAGTAAGTATGAGATTGTTATTACTGTAAGGCATATAGTCTAGTCCTCTAGATATTGACTTAACCAGAGCTTAATTTCAACTTCCTATCTTTTAGATAATATTTTGTGGTATATTTTTTTCCAGATAAGTGTGATACCAACCAATTTCAATGTACAGACTATACCTGCCGAAACTTGACAACAGTGTGCGATGGTAGCTATGATTGTCCAGATGGAAGTGATGAGGCTAAGTGTGGTAAGTCATTGTCTTTCAAAAAACCAACAAATATGAGTGTCAGATTGGACCCACATTTAAGTAATCTTCTCAGGTTTTTACCGATCTTATCTTCTTAGTTATAGGGGCAGATTCGACATCCGTTTGACCATTTTAGTCTCAGAAGTTTTAGCCTTCAAATCCTTTTTGTGTAATGAATTATCTACGTTTGAATGTTAAAAAGACTCGTCAATTATTTGAGGCTGTCATTTCAGAAACGACATATATAAAAATAGAAAAAAAAATGGCATTGGAAAAAGTTTTTTTTTGCTAAGCTAATCTGTAATAGTGTTCACTGCTCAACGTCGAAATTTGAGCCATCAAATCCATGTTTGTCCAGAATTATCTATGTTTTATTTTTAATTCAGTAAATATAGGAGTAGGTGAGACGTATAGAAATTTAGAAATTCAAATACAAGAGAAGAAATACCTGATTTGTGCTGATGATTGGAATGGTGATGTTGGTAGCAGGATTTGTCAGCATCAAGGACATAGGTAGGATAAAATCTATATTTGTTCAGTGGTTGCGCCAGTGGGGGCACAATGGTTCCTGGGGATGTATCTACCTTTCAAAAAATGGTTTGTACCCCCACGTCATTTCCCACCAATTTAAAAAATATGAATTTTATACGTTTTTGTCCCAAAATATGTGTTAGAATGCACTATATCAATTCAATTTTCCAAACGCTCCATCTGAGGCTTGTGGCTATGTCGCTGCCGCAATTTGAATATCAATCCTCCCTATTTGTTTCCCTGAAAGGCTGGTGCCACCTCTTCCTTTCTATTTATTTTAACGGAAAAATCCCTGAACACGAAATAGAATGACAGTATAGGGTTTTATCTGACTTATGAACTGGACTAATGACGGACTCATTTGGTTTTTTTTATGGTTTTGGAAAAAAAAAACAATAAATGAAAATGAAAAATTGGACTTAACTTGTGCTTTCAAGACTCGGTCTACAATTTGTAAGACTCTGTCCACTGGAGTTAAAGAATGTAATTTCTATTGTTTACAAGTCCAAAAAATACTCGTAACAGACGTTTTCTGGCAAAGGGGTGCAACTCGCATCTACAAATGCGGTCAATTCAGCCAACGACCATTAAGCTAGACTATGTATTTTATAAGACCTTCTGGAGTCAATAATAGTAGAGAAAGTTATGTATTTATATGTAATATCGCCTGGATTTTGTGTATGATAATTAATATGTCCGGAATTTTTTATATATATATATATATATTCCATATATGATATTTAATATCTTCGGGACTTAATATATATCCCCGCGATTTCATATCTGATATGTAATATCCTCGGGATATTTAATAGAATATGCCTAGGATTATATAATATCTCCAGGATTTTATATAGTAATATAATATTTAATATCTCTGGGATTTTATATGTAATATCAGTGAGATTTATATAAAAGGGATATTTGAGATATGAAATCCAGTCAGAACAATGTCAAGTCACTAGAGTTTTATAATTGCAGAAAAAGTGTGATTTGGTGAAGCAGTAAGTTTTAACTTTAATTGTGGCTAATGGTTATTGTTTGTATTTTTTTTTTCAGTGACGTAGCCAAGGCCAATTTTTTAATATCATTTCAAGACAATCCAAATTGGTTAAAGATTAAAGACAGTGATTTCAAATCAACCAATCAGAGTAGATCATTTATCAGCCATTTTGAACCAGGGTAGGATCATCGAACTTTTATTTTCGTTTCTGTCTTTTTAATTTAAAATGGTCTTGTTTTTTCTATCACTGTGACTTTGGTGCATCTTCTGTCTTTGGTTTTTTATTTTGTGATTCAAGATTGAGAATCACCTTTATTAAGGGTTATGGTCGAAATTCTTCATGCTTATCGAAAGTATTAAAGGGATAGATTCGCCATCCGTTTGACCAATTGTACTTAAGTTAAAATAACGACTCGTCATTTTTGAGGCTCTGTCATATATAGAAACGTCATTATATAGAAATAGAAATTCCTAGTTTGAGGTATTTTTGAACGAATTATGCCATTTTTGTACCTAGCCAGTACTTCTGAAGACTATCTACACAACTAAAATGAACCTCCTAAAATGGCGAAGCTGTCCCTTTAACTGCTTTTTATTAATTTATGTTTTGGTCTAAAACTTCTGTTTCACCTCAAATTTTCTCATTTGGCTCTACAATTCGGTTTGGAATCTCCCCCTCTATCATGGAATGTGGGTGTAAAATTCCTTTTTATTTCTACCTTTTATTTTTTGCTATGAACTTTATGTTTATTTTTCTGTGTATTTTTTTGTTGCATGTAGTGGTGCATGTGTTAGTAAAAAGTTTGTTCAGTTAGCATGTCAGAAGCCAGGTTTGTGTTAAGTTTCTTTTGTTTTTCTCAACCTCTACTTCTCCTTCTTGCCTTTACAACGTTCCTTCCTGATGAGAGGAGCCGCTGTGGCTCAGTGAGTTAGACGTTTTCTCCTTAACCCGAAGGTCCTGAAGACGTCACTAATCGCAAACGGCCTTATATGATAATGCATTGTTAGCGATAAGTGATGTCATCAAACACTTATTTGTAGTGGCATTGCAGGAACCACAGAGGTCTGATTAAAAATTGGAATAGTGCAAATTGATGCTATCGGTGTACTTGATTCACACAAAGAAAACTTCTTTACGGCCCCTTTAAAGATGTATTTTAATCTGATCGACAACTAATGGTCACAATCTAATGTATATTTGCGTGTACAAAATACAATGCGTAGGATTTTACCCTGAAAAGAGTAAAACTGGGGGTGCGCATTATATACGTTGACAAAATTTTGCATTTCTGATGTGTAACCGTTTCAGTATGTGGTGAGAGAAAAGTGAGTTTTCTACAACAGTTTATAGCTGGTGGTAACGTTGTTCCAGATGGAAAATGGCCGTGGGTTGTGTCAGTGTCCTATTTGGGAAGTGATGCTTGTGGAGGTGCTCTGATAGCAGCGGACTGGGTTGTTACAGCTGGTCACTGTGTGAAAATGTAAGTATCAAGAAACTGTTTGAAATTGTGAAAATAGGAGAAAAACGACTTCAGACTTTAGAAAGCCAACTGAAATCCCCAGGCCCGCCAGACTTGATTGTTCGGGGGGCCAAGTATAATATCTGGAGTGGCAATGGTCTTTGGTGTTTAGTTGAAATAATGAAATTGTTCGGTTGTCAGAATATTTTCAAGGTGGAAAATCCATTCTTGGCGAGGCATTGTTCCCCTTGCCCCCGGTAGGTAAGAGCTCGGCAATCCGTAGTCTGCAACAAAATTTTCTATTCCAACCTCTGATAGATATTGTAACATTTATCGGCTGGCAATTTTCAAAGTAGCTATCAGAGGCTGGAATAGACGTTGATGTTTCAGTCGATATATGTTTAAGAGCCCTGGATGAGATCCTGTTGATTTAAAACTCATTGATTGAATTTCAGTATTGATAGCTTTGATTATACCAGTACACCATATAATGTAGTAGTGACTCTTGGATCAGTTGACTGGAAGAAAGGGACATCAGTCCGCGTCAGAAAGATCATACCCCATCCTGGACTGTACAAGGCTAATAATGGAGTAGTGAAGAACGATATAGCATTGTTAAGACTAGAACATCCAGTAGCTTATACAGACTATATACAGCCTATTTGCTACGATTCAGGCGAAATCTTAACCAGGACATCATTTTGTTATTTGGCGGGATGGGGCTTGTTGTCATGGAGACAGTGTAAGTTTTTTCAGAATATTTAACATATTCTACATGGAGATGACGGATTCGTAAAGCTCAGTGAACACATGAAACTCCGTTATTACTTTATGATAGCTTTAATGATTATGATTGTTCTGAGCTTTGTATCACAAACAAGAAGTCGACTAGAAAAATGGTTTTACCCCAACTTCATATTTAACAAATTTGAAAATATCATTTGTATACCTTTTCCGCCAAAATATGTTTCAGATTGCACCAATTCAATTCAATTTTCTCGAGAGAATCCTCTCAAAAGCTCCATAAGCCCGCTCCTAGCGACTATGACGCCTCCTTATTGCTGCCGCATGAGTTAGTCTTGGGAGAATGGCGCCGCCACTAAGAGCTAAGCGTAACAATGGTCTCATTAAAGTGTGTTTGTGTTACAGATAAGCCAGTAGAGAAGTTACGAGAGACCAAGATGGTGATATGGGATGAATCCCGATGTTCTAGGAACACTGTGACAGGGGAAAGCCGAGTGGACACGAACTCCACACTGTGTGCTGGATATTTGATGGGACTACCGTCTGGCTGCCAGGTATCGTACAAAATCTTTTAACCTTTTACTGTAACTGGATATAAATAAAAAAAAAAAACTAACGGTCCTAACCGCAAAACGAAGCCAAAAATCTAAACAACATATTGGCGAAATATTAGTAGCATAAACTTTTCACATATCTCACATAAAAATTGATGTAGAAATACAGTGTGCTTAAATAACGTGCGATGATGATACTCTCCGATATTGCGACTATGGAGCTGTTAAAGATGGGTTCCCTTATTTTCATTTATGAAAATGAAAATAAAAATGCTGATACATGTACTTATATGAATAGAAAGTAGAGGTATTCTAATGGCTTGGAAAAATACCAGTTTGTCTCACATGTCCATAATTAATTCATAATCAGTTAAGTAAGCAGAGAATTACCAGCAGAATTCCGACCGATCAAAAAAGGTCAAAAAGTCTTTGTTTTTGTTTATTCAGACTGTACATACATAGAAATTTATGATTTGTGAAAACTCTTAATTATATGCAATAAGAACATAATGATATGATTAAGAATACATGATAATTCATTAGAAACACCAATTAATCAAATAGTTTGCTGAATTTGACACTACAAAATAAGGAAACCCATCTTTAAAGCTATCATAATTTATAATCCAAATGCCAAAAAATACATGAATAGCCAAAACATCAGAATGCTCTGTCGAACGATCAGTTAATATTTAAATGAACCATCCCTGTTTATGTTCTATTTACACTTCATCTTCATCCAGCCCCGAAGCTACAGGGGGGCAAGGGTGGTGGGGCGAAAAAATGGATTGAAAAATTCTGATAAC